ATGGTGTGTGTGTGCTTTTTTTTAATAAAAAAACTAATATAATTTTAAAAAAAATAATATATCACACGCAATTATTATTTTTATGTTATTTAAATAATTTTATATATTTTATAAAAATATATATAATTTCAAACCATTTGACAAAATAAACATACTCTTACTGTTTTATTATTAAATCTTTTAGTTTTATTAAAATAATTTGGATCAATTACAAAAAAGAAAAAATTGCTATTACTTTTAATTTTTCTATTAGAAACACGACTTATATATAAAAATAAATGTTAATATTAAGATTTGAGTTAATGATGATTCCTAGTCAGTGGTGCAATAGGAATATAGTCACATAAATTATTTGAATAATTTGTTTGATCTAAGATATATAAAATTATAAAAATAATATTAAAATATATTTATATTAAATATTAATTTTTATAAGTGAATAAAATATATATACTCCCTCCGTCCTGTTGGAATGGTGATGTTTGCTTTTTGCACATAGATTTTTAAACATTAGTATTATATTGGATTGTAGTAAAAATGACAAAAATACCCCTATTAGTATGATGTAATATAAAAGTAATGACATTTGTGTAATATATTGTAAGTTGAAATGATATTTATTATGTTAAGTAGGTAGTCTTGTTTTGGGACGGACGAAAATAAAAAATAATAACTTTTCAATGGGACTAATGGAGTATTAAAAATTGTCTTATTGGCTACCAAACCCAAATTAAAGAGTTATTAAGGTTGTAAGTTTTTAAGTGAAATTCTACCATATATCATTATTTTTTCATTCAATAGGAGTATTAATTGAATATATTTTTTTATTTTTATATTTTGTTTAGAAAATATTTTTATATTTAAAATATTATAAAATAATTATTTTCATTTAAAAAATTATTGTTTTAAAATTATATTTTCCTGCTTCCACGTGGCTTTCCACGTGTCTGGTTGTTAATGGACAGTCTACCATAGGACGTTGGACTTTTTAAGGTCCACGCAATTTCCAATAATTTTCACGCTTTTGTTTTGTATTTTTATTTACTTTTTATATATTTAAAAATTTAATGCTTATACACTATATATTTTTTAATGTAAAATTTAAAAGTATATTTATTTATTTGTGTTTAAAAAATATATTTTCTTACAAAATACTTAACTTAAATTTTATTTAAATATAAATTTCAAACAAAATATTTTCAATTTAAATCTAAAGAAACATACTCAAATTTTTATTTTTTATTTTTTGTATTCAGCTGTTAACTAAATTTATACTTATTTTTTCTGGACTATTATAAAAATAATTTTTTTTTTAGTAAAAAATTATATTGTTTTTTATATTCCGTAAATCCCTTAATAAGTTATTTGTTTTTTCTATTATGATTGGTCTCAAATCAAAATATTTATTTATTTCTTTAATAATTGTACTACATATATAATATTAAAAAATACTTTTATAATTTTTAATATATTAAATAAATATCATTATTTTATTTAATCATTATAACTTATCAATACTACTAGTAGGAGTATGAATGTGATTTTGTCTCCACTTAAACTACATACATATACACTATTAATATTATTTTTAAAAACAAAAAAAATGCGTGCAAAAAAACAAATAAATATTTAACATATAGAATATTTATTTTATTTAAAATAAATAAAAAAATGCATTTATATTGAAATTTATACTCAAAAGTTAAGGAAATACATTATACAATTATCAATAAACATTTTTACTCAAATTCTTAGTTAATTATAAATTTACTTTCACAAAATATTTACAAAATAATAAAAATTACTCAATTCAAGTAACATTATGTGGTTGTTTGATTTGAATGATTTTGAGCAAAAAACACACTAACACGTCCATACTTTAATTATTTAAATCACTATTTGTTAAAAATATATTATGTATTTAAAATAAATGAAATTAGCATCGAATTGTTAATATAAGAGTGGGGTTAGTGGAAATCCCTGTGGCTTACATAATAGAGTTTATATATATAATTATTAAAAATTAATTGTTAAAATAATATTTCGTCGGTCATATTTAAGTTATTATAAACTCGAGAATATAAGAGAGATATGATTATTAAATAATTTTCAAAGTATTAATTTAAATAATTATATATTAATATTAAAATAATTAATTATTCTTATTAATAAAAAAATATAAATCAAAATTTTAAAATATAATTAAATTATACTCATATTTTTCTTAAATAAATAATTATGAAATATGAGACGCACAAACAAAAATGTAAATACTTAAAGGTGAGACGGAGAGAGTATAAAATAAATTTATTTTGCATTTTCATTTATTTTGTATGTATTTAGGGTTTGTTTTTTTAGTATTTTGATTTGATTTTTTTTAAAAAAAAATTTTTATAAAAATATTTTATTCTTTTAAAAATTGCATAAATATATTTTAGTGTGTTAATCATTTTTATACTCCCTCCTTCTCCAATACGGTGTTACCGTCACGGTAGACATGAGAATTTAGGAAGAATGTGATTACTAAATAATTATAGATATATTAGTAAAAATAATTATAAATTGAAGTTAAAATAAATAGTTAGTATAATTTTAAATTTTAAAATATGATTAAAATGTGTAATATTTTTTCAAAAAATAAAAATAACATAAAGATGTGGACGAAAATAGAATTATGATATTTTATGTGGGACAGACGAAGTATTAAAATATTTTTAAAACTTAAATACCTGTAAATTGGACAATATTCCGTATATTTCTTGGAGTTTTTTTTTCTAAAAAAATAAATTGTGATCCAAAATGTTTTATGAGAAAATTAATGAATTTATTTGATTTAATTTAAAATTAATTTAAATAATATTTTGATTTGATAGTTTATAAATAGATAATATTATTTTTATATTAAAAATTGTGCATACTAAATAGAATGGATTTTATTTTGAATTTAGTAATAAAAAAAACCTGTTCCGTAAATATATATTATTTGGTAAGTTTTAATACACAAATCATTTACTGCGATTAAATATATATTTACAACTTACTATTGCAATGCCCATACGAAAAAATTTGGAATAACTATTTTTGTTTATAAAAAACAGTAATTTAATTAATTTTAAATTAAATACTTGTTCAAAATATTATCTTCGTAAGAAAACATCTCACAATATTTAAAAATAATTATTTAACGCCACTAAATAATAATTAGGATAAAAATTAAATAATTTTTTCGTATTTTATTAGATTTATTATTGAACTATATGTATGTATTTGAAATATTGTAAATAGATATTTGATTTATTGAATTTTTCCAAAATTCCATTAAATATACGTAGCATGATAATACAATGCAATGCATTGTTATTTTATTTTTATTTTTAAATAATGCACCTTAAAAATATATAAATATTCCTAATTAAAATTGTATATTATGTATGTATATAAATAAAATATGAGTCATTTTATATTGCAAAGCTTGGACAGATGTCCCTTTCGCCATCAATATAACTATATTATTAACATACTAAATGCTAAAATGATTACTATAATTGAATTGAAATTGTAAATATTTAAGATATAATTAAACAAAGCCAAATATTAATTGGATTTTTTTTTTATTTCAGTTTATTTTATTAAATTTATAAATTTTTTTATTTTAGTTTTGTTTTTAAATATTATGCTCAATTGTTAATTTTTATATAAAATATCATATTTTATAACTGATTTATAAACTACAATTAAATAGAACCCTTAGAATGTGATTTTCTAATTTAGATTTGAAAAGTGTATTTATTTTGTATTTTAGTTTGAAGAAAAAAAATTATGAAAGGTACAAAAAAAATTAAATAAGTAATAATAAAAAATGAGTGTGTATAATATAATATTTTTAAAAAAATACTAAAAAAAATTTGAAAAAAAATAAATCAAAAGTTTGAGAATAATATCAATTTAAAGTAATAAGTATATATTAGTCTTTGATGTAATGAATGAAGAAATTTTGAAATAATATACTAAACAAAAACAAATTTTTTGATTTGATAGTTAAAATAAAAAAAAAATTGATAAATAGCATCAGATCAAATCATAACCTAAAAAATTGAATATATTAAGTTTGTTATATGTAATGATTTCTATATAAAAATTACTACTATATTTTTATTTAAAATAATAAAATTATTGCTCTAATATGATCATATAAACATTTTGGAAAACTTAACAAGTAATAAAAATTTTGATATTTGACATAATATTTTTGTAAAAAAAAAAATGTGATGTGAATTTTTTTTTATAAAAAAAATATTATTAATGAATAACATAAAATTTAAAAATATTATTACAACTTAAAATATATGTAAAGTCTATTTTGGATGTGTTTTTTTTGCCCTCGCAAAAATTAATCCGAAGGTGTGGGGTCAACTTGTGACTTTGAAGTTATAAATTGAATTTCGATAGTTCCAATAAAAATACAATATATTATATTTGTTCATAAAACAACATATCTAAATACCATTTAAAATAAAAATAAAAGTAAAAAAACATATATATATATATATATATATATATAAAAAGAAGAAGAAAAAAACCTCAAAACAAACAAACCCTATAGTAAAAGGGATGGAAAAGAAGTGAAGAAAAAACAAGGCAAAGTCAGGAATCATAGCACTTATTTTATATAAACAACAATCATGACAATAATGCAATGGCGAAGGATAAACCAGGTGTCTTATCTTAAATTTAATTTAATGTTAATTTCTCCGAAGCAGCACCCACTCGCTCCCCATACCACGCGCCTCACGCGCCACTGTGGTTTCCCCCCCTCCCCGTTCATAATTTTTCTCACCATTTACAACACTGCTCGGACAGGTCTTATTACCACAACATTTATTAAATTCAGTCGAAATGAAACCCAAATTCAAATGAAATGCACGTGGGGCCGCCACCGCCTCTAAAATCTAAATCAATATATATCTATATCTATATATGTAAGTATATATACAACGGCTGCCTTCGAATTGAGTCTTCTTTTTATAGAGCAGCACTGTGATTTCTCTATTTTTTTTTAAATTATTTTTTTTTTAATTTTAATTTTTTTGGATCGCCGGAATCTAAGTTCCGGCGACGCCTCGCCGGCCGGAAGATTCTGGGTGTTTGTCTAAATTTTGAAATTCCGGCGATCGGTTGAATTTGTATGGCAAAAGGTCGGAAATTAACCACCAGTCGGAGCGAGCGGTTTCTGGAGAGCTTCGGCTACAATCACAGTCAGGAGGCAGGCGGCGCCGCCGCACCGGAGCTCGGAGAAGATGAGGTGTGGTCGATAATCGACGACTCAGCCGTCGAGAGCGGCGGCGACTGGAGTTCACGCGCCTCCGTGGAGAGCAACGGAGGTTTCAGCGGCTATCGGAGTAGCCGGCGGCCGCCGGCTCGGCGCCACCGTCCCGTCGGAGGATTGTCTCTGGCGTTCGAAGATCCGAACAACACATCCTCTCCGACGATCGTCCACCAGTTCCGCGGGCAGGACGGCGCCGGAGAGTCTCCCCGCGGCCGCCGGCACGTGGCGACGTCGGCGCCGGTGAACGTCCCCGACTGGTCAAAAATCTACCGAGTTGACTCGGTCGAGTCGATGCATGACTCGGACGACGGGTTGAATGACTCGTCCGAGTCGGAACTCGTGCCGCCGCACGTGTACCTCGCGCGCAGCCGGAAAATGGTGGCCGACTCGGTTTTCGAGGGGGTCGGCCGGACGCTTAAGGGCCGGGACATGAGCCGGGTTCGAGATGCCGTGTGGAGCCAGACCGGGTTCGACGGATAGTTAAATATTATTAGTCTTATTAAATTAATGAGATTACTATATTATATAGTATTAAATATTAATTAAAATAAGAAGTCGTTATTATCTCCATTAAATTATGTAATTTTTTTGCTATTATAATTTTGGGTAAGGAGTTATTGGATCAAACACTATTTTGATGGAAATTCAAGTGTATTTATATATATATATATTTATGTTGGTGTTCTCATTTTTGTAAGATTTTCAGAGTGTTTTTTTTTTTTTTCCCATCAAATTTACAGATTTTTTGTATGAATTTTGTATTCTTCAAAAAGGAAAAAATATATATTTTTTTACAAAATATTATTTAATAACAAATTTAAATAAAAAAATTGAAATCAAATAATAAATAAATAAAAGATATATTATTTTTAAAAAAATGTAATGAGAATATTAAATTTGCTACTATTACAGTATTGAATGGGAGAAATCAATATTATATTGATTTTTCCATTCAAACACATTTGAAACATAGAAATAATACTGCAGATTTGGCACATTTGGAAGATCTTATAAACATGTAATTTTGTTGAACGAATACACTATTTGTGTAATATTGAATTATAAATTATAAATTATGTTTTATTATTATTATTATTATTCTCTATTCGTTTTAAAATAATAATTTTATTTTGTCATTTTCGTTGTTTCAAAACAATACTCTCATTTTTATTTTTGGTAATTAACTCCCATCAATTTTACAAAACTATTCTTATTTTTTTACGATAATTATATAAAGTGAAAATATTTTGATTTTTTTAAAAATAATTTTATACCCACTGTCAATATAATATTACTCCCTCCGTCCCATAAGTAAGTATCAATTTGTTTTTTTTCACGTAGTTTTAGAAATATTAGTATCATATTGAGATATAATAGAAATAAAGTAAAAATGACTAAAATAACCTTATTAGTATGTATGATACAAAGGTAATGACATTTGTGTAATATATTTGTAATGTTAGGTAGATAGTACAGTTGCTAAAAAAGGAAATTGATACTTTGTTATGGGACAGACTAAAATGAAAAATAGATACTTTGTTATGAGATGGAGGGAGTATTATTTTTAAATTTGATCATACTCATTTCAAATGTCCATATTGTTTTAGAACGAATAAAGTACCATATACTTATCGCTCATGTGTTATATGTATGTTAATATGGAAGAACAATCTATAATTGAGTCCCGTAAGGGATGGTCTGGTGGTGTAGGAGTTGGACGTGTGACCGTGAGGTCATGGGTTCAAACCCCCGAATTTTACCAGTGCGCACTCTCGGGTCGGGCCGGCCAAAAATTTATTATTATTTAATCGGTATGATTTTTAATAAAAATATATTTATTTATATTTATATAATATTTTCTAAATTAAAATACAAATTTATAAACTCTGATAGTAACTTAACACAATTATATTCCAAACAATAGGAATTTGGTTATTTGCAGTTTTATTTTGTTTTTAGTTTTGAGTTTTGATTTGAACAATTATTTTGATATTGTTACGTACGAAATTTAGAATTAGGTTAAAAGCCCAAGGTAAAACGAGGAATGGGCCTGGCAATAGGGTTGATTGAACTGGCTGAAGGACACCGTGAGGAAATCAAAGAAAATAAATTTATTTATTTATTTCTAAGGAAAATTCAGGACGGAAGGACCTCAGGTCGGTAGGTCCTCAGGACGGAAAGACCTCAGGACGGAAGGTTTTTAGGTCGGTAGGTCCTCAGGACGGAAGGTTTTTAGGTCGGTAGGTCCTCAGGACGGAAGGTTTTTAGGTCGGTAGGTCCTCAGGACGGAAGGTTCTCAGGTCGGTAGGTCCTCAGGACGGAAGGACCTCAGGTCGGGAGGTCCTAAAGATGAAAGACCTCAAGTCGGACGGTTTTCAGGTCGGGAGATCCGCAAGACGGAAAGACCTCAAGTCGGAAGGTCTTCCGGTCGGGAGGTCCGCAAGACGGAGAGACCTCAAGTCGGAGGGTCTTCAGGTCGGGAGGTCCGCAAGACGGAAAGACGATGAATCGGAAGGTTTTCAAGTCGGGAGGTCTTCGAGACGGAAAAGTTGTCGAGATAGGATATCCGCAGGTCGGGTAAACTGTAGGTCGGATAGAAGGCGGAGTCGGACAAACGCGGAGGCCTTTGATCAAAGACAGGGGGCGGTTGATATGGAGGTCGGCCCAAGTGGGGTCGGGCGAAGAAGTAGGTCGGACGAAGGACGAAGTCGGGCCAAAAGAGCGGAAGGTTTGTGGTCGGCTCAAGGAGCGAAATATAGGGAATTTTGGTCTGCTGGGGACACGTGTCAGCATGAGAAAGGTTGGAAGATGGTTGAGAAGGAGACGTTGTAACCGTTCGGGTGACGGTTTTCAGTACGGTTTCCCAGGGAATATTTAAGGATTTGAATCATCGTTTGGCGAGGCATCTTCAATCAACTTCAACAAAGCAAAGTCAGATTTGGGGATCACCACTTTAAATTTCAGTCTTTTATTTTCCAGTTTATTTTCTGTACCGTACAGTGTTTAGAGATTCCTAATCTCAGGCACTAATTAATCAAGTTTAAGGATATTTTCTATATCTTTGAATTTTACTTTATTTTTGTTGAAAAAATACATCAACAAATTGGCGACCACAGTGGGAGCAAGACACAATTGCTCATTCCAATTCCGGCGATAATTTCATACGTCTTAGATCCGGCCGAATCATCGGAAGGGTTATGGCAGGTTCACAACCGCAATCATCTTCGGCACCGGTGGGAGAATCCGTTCCACCACCTATTGTGCCAAATGCCGGGGAAATCCCACAACCACCAACTGATTGGTGGTCTTATGTTCAACAAATGAACAACCAGCATACCTTGGTTATGCAGAATATGTTGCGTGAGCAACAAACGAACATGTTGCGTGAGCAACAGAGTCAGTTGCAGAACATGATAGATCAAGCATTGTCAAGGGTTAGTCTTCAACCCACTCAAACGCCACCAGGAGTGTCACCGTCCAGACCACAGGCAAATTTCGCAGGGCCATCATTCGTGGATAGTACATTCCCAAGTGCCACAAATCCCAACCGAATGGATCGGGGAAAAACTCCTTTGACTTTTCCCAACAATGTTCCACTGGGACCAAGGGTTACCAATTCGCAGCCGAACAATACAAGGGAGGACAGGCCTGAAGGATATATACATGATCCGATTCATATTCCTGTGCAGGATCCGTTCCAGGTTCCTGATCATCAACGCTTTCATGTAGATCCTGATGAGATTGCACATATATTAAGGGATCAGTATGGATTAACTCCTCAGATGGCTAACCGCCCTGCATATCAAAGACCTTTCCCAGAAAGGATCATTCATGAACACCCTCTCCCAAGGAATTTTCGACCACCCGACTTTCATGCATTCTCAGGGGAGGATGGATCTTCCACCATAGAACATGTTGGTCGGTTCACAGCACAATTAGGAGAAGTTGGCAATAACCCTTTTTATAAGTTACAGCTGTTTGGTTTGTCTCTTACCAGAACGGCGTTTTCATGGTTTGTAAGTCTACCTCCTGGACAAATTCAGACATGGGAAGGACTGGAGATGGCATTTCACGCTAGATTCTTCAATCCTTTACCAGTTGTGTCTTTAACTGATTTACTTGAATTGAGACAGTATCCAGAAGAAACTGCTTCACAGTTTATAGAAAGGGTACGATTGATGAAGGGACGATGTCCTACGGTAATCAGTGAGAAAGAGATGACCAATTTAGTGGTCCGGAATATGCATAATCGTTTAAGAAAGGCACTCACTGCCCTGGATGTTGAGGATTTGGCAAGTCTTGCATCCAAGGCAGGACGTCTAGAGTCTTTGTTCAGAGAGGAAGATCAGCATAACAGGCGTAATAGAGGCCAACATATGGCGAGTATGGGAACAGAAACATGCGACTTTGATTTTAATCAGTCAGAAGAGATGGCAGCCGAAATCCTTTCTGGAAAACCGTATGTATGTCCTAAATTGAAGCCAGTACCAGGATCTGAAGGAAAGGAGCAACCGACCTTTGATAGTTCGAAAGCTGATGAAATCTTTGATATCCTACTGACTGATGGGCAGATCCGTATTCCAAAGGGCCAAAGACTTGCCACTAAAGAAGAAATCAAAGGGAGACCATATTGTAAGTGGCATAATTCTTTCACACACACTACAAGTCAGTGTACTCATTTTAGGAAGGAAATTCAAAAGGCCATCAAGACAGGTCGGCTCAAATACATCACTTTAGGTGTAGACCAGCAACCATTTCCGAAAGTAACAACTGCAATGGTTGACATCCAACCAAGTTCGGAAACAGGGAAAAGTTCGGTCAATAGTGGACAAACAGGGGAGCAAACTCAGGCAAGTCCCAGAAAAAAGAAAGGGAATCAGCCAAACAGCAGCCGACCGGAAGAACGACTCAAAGTTGTTGAAAGGCCAGTCGCTGAAAAATGGGACCGTCCAGACGGTTCTTTTAATGTGGAAGTGAAGGAAAAGGTTTTAGTGCGAGACCACCCGACCAGAAAAACGGGTTCAGTCGGGAACGATTGGGCTCGAAATAAAAAGCCTTTACCCGTTGATATAGATCCTCGTTTCCCAGGTATGAATCGTACACAGATTCGCAATGCCAAACGCAGGTATGCTGCAAAGTATGGGAAACGAGTTCCTGCAGTACAACAAAGAACCGACGAACAAAATGCAGCCGACCACTTAACAGGAGAACAGTCCATTAGAGTCTTTACAGAACAAACGACCGACGAGCAGGGAGCGGCCATTCAGTCTCCAATAAGTCGGTCCAGTCGGGTCTGGTCAGGAAAGCAACCGAAGGACGGATTAGGAGCTTCCGACTATACCAAAAGAAGTTCGTCGGGACAGGGGAAAGGTAAAGGAATGGCAGATGAAATAATTAAAGGTTTTAGATGCCAACATTGTGAACGGATCAACATCAATCCATCTCTGGAAGAATTTCGTATTGAATCTTTGACGGTTCAATCTCGAAATGAGACGAAGGAAGAAGTGGTGCCTACAGAGGAAAATTCAAGATCTGTTAAATCTCGTCTGGGACCACGAATCCCTTGTCGAATGACAGAGATTAACCAGATGAGTGATGAACCGACGTGGGCGAGTCTGGTAGATGATACTATGGACGAACCTTTATGGGCATTCTTGGCAGATGACGAATTAGAGGAAACAGAGT